ATGACGATAGCCGGGATCGGAGGAGCCTCTGGAGCAACCCGCGGACGGCTGTCTTTGGCCCTCTCCTCGGCAATAACTGGAGCAACGCTCCCCGTCCAGGCGTACGTTCTGCCGCATCTCTCCTCGTACCAGGGGCCCATCGTGCGAGCCAGCGTCACCTGGCCCCACATACGCGGTCTCCCTCTGGCCGATCCGCAGTATTTAGACCGAGATTCAATCGAGATACTGCTCGGTGCGGATGTCTATTCCGCCATCCTTCAAGATGGACTCCGCAAGGGAGGCAAAGACGAGCCCATCGCGCAGAAGAACTCTCTCGGGTGGATCCTGTCGGGAGGACACCGAGCCACGACCCAGAGTAGCCATGCCGCTCACCAATGCACCATAGACCGCCAGCTGACCGACTTGGTGCAGCTCTTCTGGGAGCAGGAGAAGGAGAATACCGCTCCCGTCGCTCTTACCCCGGAGGAGAGAAGGTGCGAGGACATCTTCGTCCGCGAGCACTCACGCACCACCGCCGGACGTTACATTGTGAGGCTTCCCTTCTCCGGAGCTCCACCCTCTCTGTCAGGAACCCGTCGGCCGGCCGAGCGTTTGCTCCATGCCATGGAGCGCCGCTGCGACAAGGACGCTCGATTCGGCAACCTCTACCGCAGCTTCATGAAGGACTACGAAGACCTGCAACACATGGAAGCTGTAACCACATCATCACAACATCATCACAAGAAGATACTGCAAGGTGCTACTTACCGCATCACGGAGTGTTGCGAGAAACGAGCATCACCACTAAGCTCAGAGTCGTGTTCAACGGCTCACAGCTCACGACCTCGGGCACCTCGCTCAACACCAGTCTGCTGACTGGTGCCAATCTCCTGCCAGTTCTCGCCGACGTACTCCTGCGCTGGCGCTGGCACCGTTACGTCTTCTTGGCGGACATTGAGAAAATGTACCGCCAAATTCTTGTTCATCCAGACGACCGCGATCATCAGCGGATACTTTGGCGGCACCGTGCCGTTGACGACATCCGCGAATACCGCTTGCGAACGGTCACATATGGCTTGGCGTGCGCGCCATTCCTCGCCATACGGACCTTACACCAGCTCGCCGACGATGAAGGTCACCGATTTCCACAAGGAGCTGTCGCGCTGCGCCGCGATACTTACGTGGACGACGTCGTGACCGGCGCGAGCACCCTCTCGGAGGCCACCGCAGTGCAACGGGAGCTTCGCAGCCTCTGCATGGCGGGCGGGTTTCCTCTTCGAAAATGGGCGGCCAACCACCTCAGCATCCTGGACGGCGTTCCGCACGAGCACCGGCTCACCCACTCACCTCACTCATGGTCTCACGAGAACCACACAACACTCGGTCTTCACTGGCACCCAGCTGGTGACCACTTCACTTTTTTACAACCGACACGTCACTTCGACGAACTTACAAAACGGCGTGTCCTGTCCGAAACCGCACGAATGTTCGATCCTCTCGGCTGGATCACCCCGGTCACAATGCGGGCCAAGATCCTAATCCAGTCCGTCTGGCTCCAGAAGATCGACTGGGACACTCCACTTCCATCACCGGACACGCTCGCTTGGCGGAACCTGCTCTCGCAACTTCCGCGCCTCAACGAGATAAAGGTACCTCGTTGGCTCGGCAGTGACGGTCCGCACTCACACGTCGAACTACACGGATTCGCCGACGCATCGGAGGGTACGCCGCCGTGGTGTACCTCCGCTCCTCTACTGGAAGGAGCACCGCACTCCACCTGCTGACCGCTAAGGGCAAGGTCGCGCCCGTGAAGCCCGTGTCCTTGCCGAGACTCGAGCTATGCGCGGCCGCCCTCTTGACGAACCTCGTCGTTCACACGCGCACTCTGCTAAGTTTGTCCTCAGCTCCAGTCTTCCTTTGGTCGGACTCCAGGGTCACTCTTCACTGGATCCACGGACACGCCTCCCGCTGGAAGACCTACGTGGCCAACAGAGTGTCGCTGATCCAGGAGCGGCTACCCGAGGCGCGGTGGCGACATGTGCCGGGCAAGGACAACCCAGCTGACTGCGCCTCCCGAGGAGTTCTGCCCAGCGACCTGGTCGGTCATCCTCTTTGGTGGACGGGACCATCCTGGCTTTTAGAGGACCAAGCAAGGTGGCCGGACAACGACGGCGCCCTGCTTAACGCTGCTATGCCGGAGCAAAGGGCCGTCGCCTCACTCTCGGCGGCTGTCAAGGACGTTTCTGAATCGGCCTTCCTGCTCCGTTTCTCGTCATTGCACTGACTGCTCAGGGTGACAGCCTGGTGTCTTCGATGGCGACGGACCGGCACCCGGAGATCTCGCACCACCGCTGACGCCGCACTCTCACTCACGTCTTGCGAGATCGAAGACGCACTCCTTCACTGGATTCGCATCACACAGACTCTGCACTTCCTCGGTGAGATCACAGCACTCAGCAAAGGACGCGCCTTGCCAGCCAGAAGTCCTCTCACCAAGCTGAGTCCGTTCCTCGACGACAGCGGTGTAATGCGAGTCGGAGGACGACTGAAGAACGCCATCCTGTCTCACGACGAGCGGCATCCCAGCATTATCCCACCGGAGTCAAGGTTGACTCACTTGATGGTGGACTCCTGCCACCGGCGGACCCTGCACGGAGGAGTGCAGCTCACCCTCGGGTTGCTTCGTCAACGAGTCTGGATCCCACGTGGTCGAGCAGTCGTCAAGCGGGCGATCCACCGATGCGTCACCTGCACGCGGTGGAGAGCCGCCGCACCGCAACCACTCATGGGCAATCTGCCCCGGGAACGAGTGACTCCTGCACGCCCGTTCCTGCGCACCGGAGTCGACTACGCCGGCCCTATCCTCATTCGGGCCAGTAAGGGACGAGGCCACAAGGCATCCAAGGGCTTCATCGCAGTTTTCGTCTGCCTCAGCACCAAGGCGGTCCATCTGGAGGCAGTCACGGACTACACGGCCGAGGCGTTCCTGGCTGCCTTCCGCCGCTTCGTTTCCCGGCGAGGCCTCTGCAGCGACGTCTTCTCCGACTGCGGCACGAACTTCGTCGGAGCTGACCGTGAGCTGCGGGAGCTGTTCCGCGCTTCCTCTTCCGACGGCCGTCGGATAATTCACGCAACAGTTTCCGACGGCGTGAGATGGAGGTTCAACCCCCCCGCAGCACCACACTTCGGCGGACTATGGGAGGCCGCCGTCAAATCCACCAAACACCACCTCCGAAGGGTCATCGGCGAAGCCACCCTCACTTACGAGGAAATGGCGACTCTCCTCACTCAGATGGAGGCGTGCCTAAATTCGCGTCCGTTGCAGCCGCTGACGGACGATCCCGACGATCTGGCGGCGCTAACACCAGGGCACTTCATCATCGGCGCCCCCCTCGTGGCCGTTCCGGAGCCGTCACTCACGTCCGAGAAGGACACCGCTCTATCTCGGTGACGGCTTCTTCAAAAAATGCGCGACCACTTTTGGGAACGGTGGACGCGCGAGTATCTCAGCACTTTGGCGTCACGACCAAAGTGGACCAAGGACGAAGCCGGCCCGAGCATCGGCGACCTGTGCCTGCTGCGATCGGAGATCACGCCTCCGACGAGATGGCCACTCGCCCGCATCACGGCACTGCACCCGGGAGACGACGGAATTACACGCGTCGTCACCGTCCGCACCGCATCTTCGGAGTTCACTCGGCCACTCGCGAAGATCATCGTCCTGCCAGGAGACAACGCCAGGGCAGACTCATCACAACCGGATTCGTGAGCCCGCACAATCACACGTTCTTATTTCGTTTCTTCTTTTTTTTGCTGCGGTTTCTCATTAATTCGTTTCACCGCATCGCACTTCACTCGCGTCACTTATAACCTCACGTACGATCGGCGGATCGCGTTATTAATTGTCTTCTCGCGTTTTCTTTTTCTTTCATTTTCACGTCGCGATTTCACGATCACTCATCACCGCACTCCACGTTTTGGAAATCAACCGCCAATACTTTTACACATTGTACACGACATCACGAGTATGTTACTCATTATTCACCATCACAATGTTTCACCAAAACGCAATACTCACTCAAGCGAAGATTTCAATAGACTGAATCACACGTGTTGTCACATTCCATTCATCACGCGCGATTCACAATTCACAAATCGAACTATTCATGACATCTGTCAGTACTTACACGCACTCATTCATTTCGTCATGTACTGACGAGGCGGGCGGGATGTTTGAAATTCATATTTCGCATGCATATCATCTCAGCTCATTATTACCGAAAACCGAGATTTTTCAAATTAACGGACGTCGAGAATCTTCTCGACGTTTCTATTTATAGAGAAAAAACCGATCGTTCGAGTTATCTCTATTTTATTGCCACCGCAAAAAACGTTTGTCTCTGCCGTTGACAATAACAGTGTCAACGGTCGCCGAAAACTGTACAGCTTACGGGCATGCGCGCCCATGCGTCACGATCAGCTGATTACCAATCAGCTGATCTAAAAAGATCGCGCGCATGACAATTAACTCATTGTCAGCGGTAGACCTCATCAGCGGCCAATGACGCGCGGCGCCCTGAGGTCACCGCCAAAATACAAAGTTAATTGGGCCACGTCGATACGGGCCCAAAAATCTGCCCGGTATATAACGAGCACCGCGCGAGGACACCTCGAAGTCTCGCACTTTTCGCTCTCGCACTTTTCGCCAAACCGCACTTATCGCTTCGCAAACCGCAGTATTATTCGACCGCTTTTTTCACTCGGACTTTCCTCTCGATTACGGACTTGAACTAATTTTCGGCAATATTTCTCGAATTCTGAAATATATATATATATATTTGTGTAAAACTTTATTTATCGTGTGGTGTTGAAAATAAAACTCTCAAAAGTACAAAAAAATCATACGTGTCGTAGCTTGTTTTTTCTCAATTGTGCAGTGTCCGAGTCCAAGACCTTTTCTGTCGCGCCTATCGTCTCGAATAACTCATTCGCGAACACCTGCATAGACATAAATATAGTTACGCGGAAATATTCCCTACATATATAATTATTTATTTTATATATATATATATATATATATATATATATATATAATTAAACATATAAGGAATATTTCTTCATAACTGTATTTGTTAGACACAAGGCAGGCAAATGTAATAAATGTCTGTGTAATTATAATTATGGTTGCGCAGTCAAATATGTAAATTTCTACACACACACACACACACTATATATATATATATATATATATATATATATATATATATATATATACAGGGTCTACCAAAAGTGTGGAAACCCCTAAATATCTCGGAAAATATACGTTTTACAGAAAAGTGTTTCCAACAAAAGTTGTAGGGTTTAAGAAGATCTATATACTGATTCTATCAGTTTGACCTTGGATGGCGTCGTCAAGGTCAGGTCAAGGTCACATTGACTTTTTTAAATGACACCCCCTACATTTGATTGCATATTCTTATAGCTTAATTCAAGAGCTTTCCAAAACACTATAATAATGTTCATTTTTATTAAGTACTTTGCGAGTTATGAGGGTTGAAATAATTTCTTAATTTTACATAAACCATAAAATATCTAGTAAACCATTCATTTTTCGATTATCTTACCTTCATACTTTTATGTACAAATTAATGAGAGGAATCAATTGTGTAAAGAAAACACATAGTTGTTTCTAAGAAAAAATATGTAATTTGCAATTAACAATTCCATATTTTTTCTTAAAAACAACTGTATGTTTTCTTTACACCAATTGATTCCTTTCATTATTTTGTACATAAAAGTATGAAGGTAAGATAATCGAAAAATGAATGGTTTACTAGATATTTTATGGTTTATGTAAAATTAAGAAATTATTTCAACCCTCATAACTCGCAAAGTACTTAATAAAAATGAACATTATTATAGTGTTTTGGAAAGCTCTTGAATTAAGCTATAAGAATATGCAATCAAATGTAGGGGGTGTCATTTAAAAAAGTCAATGTGACCTTGACCTGACCTTGACGACGCCATCCAAGGTCAAACTGATAGAATCAGTATATAGATCTTCTTAAACCCTACAACTTTTGTTGGAAACACTTTTCTGTAAAACGTATATTTTCCGAGATATTTAGGGGTTTCCACACTTTTGGTAGACCCTGTATATATGTGGCGTTCTGCCATACGCCATACAGGCATGACGGCGCACAGCGCCGAGCGCCTGAACGCGCGGCAACCTAAGCGCGCAAACTAGCGCGCGGCAGCACAGGCATACAGGCGCCGATCTTCGCGCAAGTGAAATCCGGCAGGGCCCGTATATAAGGCCGACCGCGAGAAGCCGAATTTGAGTCTCAGCTCGGAGCATTTTGGCAGGGTCAATAACACTGCACATTATCCAGCTTGAGTACTCCTCTTTTGTGGTAACCGGAGGGTCAAACTTCCGTTAACATTCGCCGCCAGCCGAGTCGCATTCCACGACCAGCGTCGACGGCCCGATCACCAGGGCCACCTCGACCGTCGAGCGGAGCAGCTGCCGAGCCGGAGAAGAGGGTGTCGTTCTCCTTGCTGCCGTGGACACTACAGCTGATTGACTTGGAGCCACCTCGTCTCACTAGGCCACCACGAGAGCTGCTAGCCACCTGGGACATCCGAACACGGCGCTACACCTCGCCTTCAACATCCTGGGCAGTTCCCGAGGCTCTATCTCCTCTGCCACCTTCGCCGCTCCACCGGACGACTCAGGGGACGCAGACCACTGCAGCCAGCCGGGTACACCGAGGAGTCCAGGTGACGCAGCCGCCGAAATCCACGGCGGACCGGGAGACCCAGTCCGACTCCGACTGGGAAACGCCCACTAGCTCCGTAGCCACGCAGACGGAGCCGCCGAAGCGCCGCAAACCGGTGGACGTCAACAACAACGACGACAACGGCTCCTGGGGACCTCTCCGCTACACCAAGGCGACCCCGCGGATAACCTATCGCGAGCGCGCCGATCTCAACGGCCCTTTTCAGGGCCTTGTACATAAAACTTGTAAATAGACTCACGAAATAAACATAGATCCATACTGTACATAGATCCATACTGTGACTTAATAATTAAAGCGGAAACCCAGTCAACCTTGCGGCCAGTGACGCATCCTCTTCCGGCTAAGCGTAGAGCGGACACGCAGCCTATCTACGCCCATATATATATATTCCCTACATGCATAATGGTAATATATATATATATATATATATATATATATATATATATATATATTACCATTATGCATGTAGGGAATATACAGGGTGTTTCATTTTAATCCGACCACCTGGCTAACCTCTGTAAAAACGAATGATATCAAAAAATGACTTCTACAAAAGTTGAAGGGAACAAAGAGGGCCACCCAATGGTTCCAACGACTTTGACGTTGAACTCAATTCAAGGTCATTTGAAGGTTAAAGTGTTTTTTAAAAATGGGAACCCCTATTTTTGACCCCGGAATCGGGTAGAGCGGGAAATTTTACGTCTGAAATGATATTTCATGTTTGCTTTTCTGACCTTGAGAAGGTCAGTTCAAGGTCAAATCCTTAAAAAACTGCTTAAGAGCTGTTTTTTTTTTAATTTTTTGGTAGAATAAACGTTGTGAAGATACCTTTATAAAAATGATCGACTTCAATTGCGAAAACTGCCATGCTGACTTTGAGGCCATTTTTCCAGGTTATTTGAAGGTCACGGCGATTATTTTTGACGTCTTTGACCTTATCATCGATATCCAAGGTTATTTTAAAGTTACATTTTTTATCATATCTTTAGCATTATCCAGGGACAACGACGTGGTCGTAATAGGATTATGTCCCCTTTGGGGTGCTTGATTAGAGTGAGTCCCCTTGCCTCTCACTTTTCGGGGTGCTTGATTAGAGTGAGTCCCCTTGCCTCTCACTTTTCGGGGTTCCTGACTACAGTAAGTCCCCTTGCCTCTCACTTTTCGGGGTGCTTGATTAGAGTGAGTTCCCTTGCCTCTCACTTTTCGGCGTGCTTGATTAGAGTGAGTCTCCTTGCCTCTCACTTTTCGGGGTGCTTGATTACCGTGAATCTCCTTGCCTCTCACTTACCTCCAGAATTCAACGTAGGTGCTCAAAGACACCACCATTTTGTTGAATACATAATTCTATTCGCTGCTGAAATTGCTCTACTGTTCTGTGTAATACAGCCCTTGGGATGTTTTCACAAGCGGTTAGAATTCTGTGCATCATATCTTCTCTAGTTGTTGGTGCGTGTTCATAAATTCACGACATCTTTCAAATATCCCCACAAGTAAAAGTCGGGTGATGTCATATCTGGAGATCTTGGTGGCCATCGAACACCAAAATCTCCACGTCCGGTACGTCCAATCCAGCGGTCACGGTAATTTTGATTAAGATGTTGTCGAACAATTCGAGCAAAGTGTGGAGGAGCTCCATCTAATTGAATCCACA